GCGCAGGGCTTCAGCTCCGGTTTATGCGAGCCGCATCAGCCCACACTCGATAGCGCGCCCGAGACCGTGACGCAAGCCGGAGAGCTAAGTGATTAGTTTACGTTATACGCTGCATATGCATTAGCCGTGAATAATACAGATGCATGCCTAATATCTGTATAGGTATAACGCTTGCCTTTCTTTTAAAGCCAAAAGAAACATAGCACAATTTCGTAGGTTTCGGGCGCTGCGCGAGAGGCAAATGACCCAAATAACCTGCAGAAACACGGCAATTCTTTCGAAGTTGGGAGGGGGCGTGGAGAGGCTCAAACTCGCATGTGACAATCAGGGGGTCGATAGCTTATCTTCTGTCGAGCAATGTTCCGGAACTGGTGCCCCGAGCGTGCACTAAATTTTCGAAATCAAGTACAATTTGAGAGTAATTTGAACACCATAATTGGGCACTTGGAATATGGAACCATGGTACTTACCAGTCATACCGCTTCGCATAGATATGACAGTGCATCTAACAAACGAGATGCTCCGTCCTTTAGAACAAGCCACGCGGTAGCATGAGTCGTTTCTACGCCATCCCCTAACGTTTAACCCTCGCCGGCACAGGCCATTTTGAGTCCTTCGACGGCACAAGGGGGGGGGGGGTACGACGGGGTTGGTAAGGGGAGCGATCGAGCTAGAGCTTTGCGGAAAAAACCGAGCGTGTTGCCCGTCACGAGAGGAAGCCAATGATACCCAATTTTAAGGTCCTAGGTCATCAGGTGACCTTCCAGGTCAGGTCAATAACCCGAAAATCGAAAAAATTGGGACCTGTTAGAAAGTCGTAAAGTGTGGCTGCTAAGGAGTTTTCCGGGGTGCTGATCACGAATATCGTGTTAGTTTTGATCAGAGATGATGTCTTTGTGTTGGGGCAACGACTGCAAATGATCCGAATGGGGAGCAGTGCTTTTTACCTATGGCAACAAGCAGTTCACCAATATGACGTTTATGTCAGTTGCAAAAGCGCAAATCGTGGAAAATAGACGTCGCAAGACCTTTGGTACCTACACCTTGTGAAACGGGGCTTTCACTTTTACAACATGTGAGGAAAGGATTCAACCTGCGTCGCATAGGATTATCACCGGACTCTGCCCGCTAAAGAAGCATGCATTTCGGCCCTTCCTTGCTACATCCAAATCTGCTGGGGGAGAGGGGGAGGGGTTCAGCTTTAAACCACTCCCCTTTAGAGTTTAGGGTATTGCTAGGCCTTACCACCCGCTGGAGGGGGTGGGGGGCGTTTTACCCCAATGTCTTAGAAAGTTGCCGGCTGATTTTCAAAACTCACACGTTATTTTATGAGCCCGCGAATTACTATCAGAATGGCGTGCGAAATTATACTTCCAGGTCACTGATGACATCACAGGACAGGTCAAATTAAATAGGTATTATCAATATTTCACCACGTTCATACCTCGAGATCTGACCGCCGCTAAACAAGTCACAAGGAGCTCATTTCTTGGTTTACACTTTACACATTCATAAATGGAGTCTGAATGGTATACGGCATGGCCTCCTGCGACCCGCCTCGTGATCTGAATTGAGACATTGACCTTGATCTGAAGTCAATATCTCGATTTGACCTCGATCAAATAAAAAGTATATCATTCGACACGCCTGTCCATAAAGTAAGCACGATGGTGCCAAAAATGCGGCTCTGCGACAACTTTGGTAAGGTTTTTAACTAAGCACCAAACTCCTACCTTAATTCGCGCCCCAGTGGCGGTCTCAGCCAACTTCGCCCTAGTGGGGGGGGGGGGACATGTGTTACCACTCACCTCTAACTCAAAAACTAAGAGGGCTAGAAAGACGCGGTAAAAAGCAGTCGATAGCTCTCGATGCGTATACGTTTGAAAGTATTTCAGTCATTTTTCATCATAGAGCAATATTGGGGTCACCAGAGGTCATCAAAAGTCAAAATTTGCGAATTGTCATTATATTTTTTTCAGAAAGCATGCCATTATCTTAACCCGCGCCCGGCTGGGGGTCCTGGATTTCCACGCCCTGCTGGGGGGGGGGGGTGTTTGAACACCCCCCCTTCTAACTCGGCTTCTGGGCCACGTAGCGATACGCGGAAGGCGGCGTTCGAAAGAGCGTCAAAAATAACGACGAAATCACTTCAGTCAATTTTTTGGTCAGGTCAAAGGTCAGGTCACCAGAGGTCATTGAAGGCAAAATTTCGCCGATTTCCAGGTCGAATGTCGACAATTTCCAAGAAGCCAACGCATAACTCGGGAACCAATAGAGCTACAGCGCCGCGGAAAAGCGCATTCGATAGCCCTATTAACGCCCTTTCTGAGTAATTCTCTCAGATTTGACCTAACGTCAACGGTTTTGCCTGCAGGGGGCAAAAACTGCAAAAATAGCCGATTTTTTCGGAAACAGTTTTTCTGCAATAACTTTTGACCAAAGCCTTGTACGAGCTTACTTTTACCGGCATCGTGTTCCTCTCGTCAAGACGCATCGAATGAACTATAAGTTGACCTTGAAAGGTCAACTTGAAAATTTGACCTCAGGTCAAGGTCATGGCCTGACCGGAAAGGGTCATGTTGCATATCAGTCGATCCGTATCGTCGAGCTGAACACATCTAAGGCGTTTTCATCGCTCTAGCATGCCTCTATCAAAAGTTATTTGCGAAAAACTGTAAGATACCATTCGTGACCTAAGATGACCTCAGGGCATAAACAGGGGTCACGGACACCATTTTCATGTTCAGTGTGTCTAAACCACTTGTAATTCAGTGTTTGCTAGTGTTTATAATGTCTTTCGTCCAAAGGAGGCGCATTTCAATTTTCTCCCATTGACTTATAATGGGGAGGTCGCAAAATTGACCTGACCTTAGGTCATCGATATCAAAATTCTGAGATATACATTTTGTACATGCTATTGCTCTTAGCAATCGCTGAAAGTTTCAAAGCGATCGGTCACTCGGTGTAGCTATGACAGACATTGAAACTTTTTATGAGGTGAGGTCACTTCAAGTGACCTGGTGACCTGACCTTGAATGACCTTGGCCTGAAATTTTAACAACATGTGTAGAATTGATGTATGATAAGGTGTACCAAAAACGGCGGCGCTCCGCGCCGCCGTTTTTGAGATATTCGCGAAAAACCACAAGGGGGGGTGTTCAAACACCCCCCCAGCAGGGCGCGGGTTAAGAACTATGTCGCTAGAAAAACACATGGAAAATCAATCGAAAGCTCTTGAACTCTTCTTTTGATAAGATCATCATTAAAAAGACCTCAGGTCAACGGTTTAGCCTCCAGAGGGCAAAAACTTCAAAAATAGCTGTTTTTACGAAAAGTGTTTTTCGACAATAACTTTTGACTAAAAAAAGCCACGACATACATATCTATTGCCAGAATCGTGTTCTTCTCGCCGAGACACGTCGAATGAACTATTATTTGACCTTGAAAGGTCAACTTGAAAATTTGACCTCAGGTCAAGGCCATGACCTGATCGGAAAAGGTAATGTTGCATATCAGTCGATGCGTCTCGGCAAGACAAACACAATGAGACCATCCCCAGCGTTCTATCTCTTTCCAATCGAGAGTTTTGGGAAAAATCTTTTTGTAGCATCAGATGACCTCGGATGACCTTTCTAGAGGCTATCATAAACAAAGACACCTTGGTCGTCACGGGTGGTCCAAATCATTGTGATTCTGAAATATTTGGACTGTTCCTATGCGTACACACTGATCTAGAGGCATTTCCGTTTTTCTCCATTGACTCATAATGGAAAGGTCATGCCACTGGCCTGACCTTAGGCCACGTATATAAAAAAATTCGAGATATACAAATTATAGGCGCCCATAACATCATAAAATCCACCAAGTTTAAAACCTCTCTGACAAACACTGCAGGTTGGACATGATTGCAAACTTTTTTTAGGCTTGGTCAGTTAACTTGACCTGATGACCTGACCTGAAATGACATGGGGTCAAAAATTTCACGCATTGTCCAAAATTGATGTACGTAAAGCTACTCCAAGCGGCGCGGCGCTAGCTCCGCGGTTTTTTATTCACACGCAAAAAACGCGACAGGGCGGTAACATATTCGCCCCCCACTGGGGCGAAGGTTAACCCTCGCCGAGCCATGTTTGTTTTCTACATACGCGCCAGCCGGAGGGGGGGGGGGTATGGTACGACCTCACTCGCCGTTTCGCCCCTGATGGAGCTAGAGCCTCGCGGAAAGAAACAGTTTGTGTTCCGTTACGAGACGCAGCAACTGGTACCCGATGTTAGGGTCTCAGGTCAACTGGTGATCTCTGAGGTCAGCCGTCGGTCGGTGGACACTGGACAGGCTTGGTGTCTCGTAAGTACCACTGATGTTTTGCTCCCGACACCGAAGCTGACTAACTACACAGTTACGATACAACTCTTGACCTGTTCCTGTCAACAGTATGATGCCCTATAGCAGTGTGACGTCATTCTCATTTTGCTCTTGGCCGATATACCATAGTTTCTGAAATGTTCCTTACATGTGTAAAATCGATGTCGAGCCGGGTAGGTACTGAAGTAAGATGACAATATTTGCATTGCTTTAGGAAATATCGAAGGAATAAGACAGGGGAAGGGACGTTTCGACCACCCCCTTTAAAAACGCGTTATGGGGCGCAAGTTCCCGATATTCACCAGATAGGCACTTACATATTCGTTATTCAGCATACCTAGGGCTAGTTTTTTTTTTTAATACACCCATCCAGTTCAAAAACATCAATCTTTATTGAATGTCGGTAGGTAGACATTAAAAATGATCACGGAAAGGCTAAAGTGAGTTCTTTCATAAATAATGCCTACTTAAAAATGCACATGATTACAAACAAACCTCAGTGTTTAGATCCAGTGAAATTCTGATGCACAGCCCCAAAATACAAGCTACATTTGTAAAGTAACTAAGGATTGCAGCGTTAAGCAATTTACCCAGCATCAGCCAGCAGTACCTAACTCCTGAGTCAAAAAGGGCTCACCTGAGTTGCCCTGATAAGACCGGCAGCCAGTCGGGTGGTATTGTGATCCGGGCCGATCAGCAGCCCGCCGCCAGCCGATGGGCCGGCCAGCCGACCTCTGTCGCCCCAGGCTAGCGGGCCGGTCGGGCGGCGGGCGGGTGGCGGCGGCGGCGGCGGCGGGGCTGGGCCGGCCGCCCACCGCCCACCGTCCGCCGCGCGCGCCGCCGATTGGCCGCCGGGCCGGGGGGCGTGGCCCCGGCGGCACCTCCACGCGCTAATCCGGTCGGCTGCGTGGCCGACCGGGCGGCTCCAGTGGCCGTGGCCCCGGCCCATCGGCCCACCCCGCCGGCCCAGCTCAGCTCAGCGCTCGTCTGACCGTTCAGCCGGCTTAGCTTAGCCGTGCACCGCTAATCTCCGCTCGACAATGCAGGAATGTGGCCTTCTGAGCGTAGCTACTTAAGACTGGTTTAAACGATCTTAAATGTAACTACAGACTCAAGCATGTTCTCGTGTATCCTCAAACTGCCTCAAAGTTTCTAATGCTGTCTCATTCGTGCGTTCTCGTGGCTCCTCTCACCTCCCCGAGGAGCTCGTCCAAAGATCACCTCCACCGAAAATAATTTGGAAACGCAGTTTGCCGGAACAGGTGGTAACAGGCATTAAATATACAAAAAAGTGCTTGTAAAATGACCACAGAATGACCCTATATCGTGCTTGTGGATAGAGTAACAAGTTAAATAGTGCTCATCAAGCCTCTTATTAATCCTTCTTATCTTTCTTCGGCCACTGGAAAGGACGTTCTTTCTTTTAGGAAAGATTCAAATGTCACTTGAGCACTCGCTGGGTACTTTACTTACTGCATCGGCTTCAGCTGTACCTACCTACATTTTAGACGAGGAGAAAGTAATTCATGGGCAACAACATTTTTCAAGGATTTTAGGATTTTAAAGGAATTTCGGATAGTCCGTGCGGCGCCAGCTCAACACTTATGTTGCGTTAAGTTGCGTATAGAGCCAGTGTAGGTATCATTTATTTTTACTATATCACTGCCTTTCTTTTGACGATATGCAAACGTGTTGATTATCATGCTAGCAATTTTCATCCTGCTAAGAAATGTTCTGGTTCTGTATTGTGAAGACCTTTTGACTTTTACTCAAGACCTTTGTTACTGCAATTCATCTCTTTTTAGGGGGGAGGGGGCATTGAATGTAGGCATTAGGTTTAGAGACCACAGGCAAATTTCTGGAAAGGCGCTGTCGCCTGTCCAACTCAAGGAGCGTAAAGAAGAATCATATACTTACTCTAGTCATTTTTGGGTCAGGTTACTTGAGTTCATTACATCATCTTTCAATTGTGACATTCTTGGTATTAGCTCGTAAACCGATAGAGTAAGAAAAATAGTAGCTCACACTTTTTGAGTTTTTCCGCTAATGAGGCCTCAGATTTGAATTAAGATCAACGGCTTACCCACGCCACGGTGGGGGTCTCAGGCAGCTTCACCGCCATGTGGGAGGGATGGGGATGTAGTTGATCACACCCGGTTATCTCGAGAAAGACGGAAACAGTTGATTGATCTGAAAGTTTTTTTTTTAGGAAAATTGAGGTCATTTTTAGATCAGGTCAACGCTGAGCTCCCTAGAGGTCACCAAAACCTCCCTGAAACTGTTTTTCCAATTTTGACAAATTTTCACAAATCAGCATTCAGCATATTACTCATACGAAAGGCCTAAGGAGCTACTGCACCGCAGAAAAGCGCATTTATTGGCATACATAAGGCAGCCGGACTGAATTTCAAGAAGCAAGTTGTTTAAAAAGCCAAAAGAAGCGGAGCCAAAATTGTGCCTTCCAGCTCTCCCGAATTAACTGGCTTCCAGCCTGATGTTTGCCATTCACAATGACCCTCTGTCGTCTATCAGATAAATACGAATCGAACCACTTGAGGCCTGAGGGCAGTATGCCTGATATGGTATGACGTTTGTAGTTTGTGAATGACAAGCTTGTGAGCAACACTCTGGAAATCAGCCGAATAGTCAGTGTAAATGGCGTCTGCTTGATAGTCATCCGCTATAGCGTCCCACACGATCTTCAAACCCGTGCATGACTGGGGAGGTCATGCTCACTCTACAGACTGGGAGGTCGGGAGGCGCTCTAGTGCTCTATAGATCCCCCTCCCGTTTTTCTGCAATATCTTCTAAACCGCTTTGACGTATCAATACAAAACTTGCAGTACCTTCAGCAACATCAATTTGACACCTTTTGCTTAAATTACAACTTTCTAGCTACCCTAGGTCGACCGAAAATGACGTCAGAGTGACGTCATGCTGGCCGATTTTGATGCAATTATTGAGTTACGGTAATTACTCTCAAAAGCTCTATTTTTAAGCTAGATCCGATGTCTTTGCATGAGTGGACTGAGAATATACGTGGCTATCATTGACTTTTTCACCTGAAAGTGACCTGACCTTAGCTAAATGCAGCTGAAAATTATCTCAAGTAATTCAGACAATATTGTTTTCGAAACCTGCATATGTAAAATGGATCATAAAACAGGCGTCAGGTGACCGACACATCATATAAAATTTTCGTGATCTAGCCCTCGCCCGTAAACGGTGTTTTGCCACCTTCGCCCATGCAGGGGGCAGTTGGTGCGACCCCCCTGGTGTTTGAAAACGGAGCGTCGTAGAGCTTAGCGGAAAAGACCAACGGATTGCTCTCAACGAGATCTCGCGATTGGTGGTATATTTTTGGTCCTAGGTCAACATTTGACCTACTTATGACCGGTCAAAGGTCAAATTTTCGGAAAAATCTAACTTTTTCAGATTTCCCCGCCGATTGCGGCAAAACGGTAAGAGATATCGACTTGAAACCTTCACTATCGTGATCCTTGATCAATTCTCTATCGGTTGGTGTGTATTTCGATGTCATAACTCTAAAAATGATGCGTTGGGAGCATCGGAAGTCTGCAAGCTCATTTGGGCATTAGGTCACGTCAGGCGTGTGACGTCACTGACCTGACCCTGACCCAAAATGAACTACAAGAAACAACCGACGATGCGTGAAATGAATAGCAAATTCGAATTCAGGGCATCAAAATACCCCGAAAAGGCATACAAGTGCAAGAAGTCATTACAGGTCAACCGAGGTCACTGACCTGACCTTGACCTTTAGTGACCTTGAAAAGGTCAACGGACATTGTGCCAATGTCAAATCAGCCAGTTATGATTCTAAAATAATCCATCAGTGTGTCAGGTCAGTCGGCATTTATACCAATGTGAAGCAATCTCCAATTTAGCGTAAATCTGGCCGGAGGTTGTTCCCTTTATGACGTCATAACTCCGTGACCTGACATGACCTTGACCAAAAAAATACCAAAAGTTGCGCAAAGGATGCCCCATAGGGTACTGAAAATTTGAGCAGGCTATCTGAAACGGTTCGGCGTGTAGCTAAGAAAAACCTCAGGGGGGGGGTTGCACCAACCCCCCCCCCCCTACATGGGCGAGGGCTAGGATGACCTGGCCTTGACCTGAAAAATTCAAGTTCGGTACCCTCAGGGTGTCTAAGGCGTGCGTTATCAAGGAGTGCGTAAGCCAAAAAAGGAGCCTAATCGGACTTGTTAGCCGGCGGCCAGAGCCTAAATTGTGAAGAAGTTAAAGTGCTGATAAGTTTTACTTTGACCTGACCTTTGACGTCATCGGTGACCTCGAGATAAATGAAATTAGGTTTCGTTCGACAGTTTTTTTTTCAGGGCTATCAGACGCCCTTTGAATTTTGACAGTCAACCCAGTAGTTTCGGACATAGGAGGGGGGGGGGGGGCTCTGGAGAGCCCCCTCAGTCACTCGCGTTATTGAAAATACCCCAGTCATGCGCGGGCTGTACACGACTTTCCCGGGATAAAACTGCATGCTGCTCATCACACAGGACACTGAACACGTGAGAGAACAGCTGCTCAAAACCATACGCTCTAAACAATCGTACCAAAAAGTGGAAGCAAAGAAACGGAGCGGTAGTTGTGCGGATTACGCCTGTCACTTCTTTTGCAAATGTCACAAACTAGTTAGGCGAATATTGTCAGGTACAATATTAGCATCTTCTCATATTTTCGGCCCCTCATCTAGCGACACATTACCTAGTTTGGTGATTGGAACAAGCTCCCCGGCACACTCCACCACGATCTCATTGCACTAAAAGGACTCTCCTATCCTCAAAAAAGTTAATGAATTTGCCTTGTTCCAAATCGTTCCGCCGCCTATGGTGAGATGGTCACTTTGATTTTAAAATCATTCGGTTTCTCTCGTCAACAAGCGTTGAAGGAACGAAAGCATGACCCCATTAGAAAATTTAACCTCAGATCAAGGTTATGACCTGATCGAAAAAGGCCACGTTGCCACAACGCTGCCCCACCCAGACCCACCGCCGTCTCGGTTCCTGTCCCATCGCCGTCCGACCCCGTCCCATCGCTGTCCCACCCCGTCCCACCCCGTCCCATCCCGTCCCACAGTTGTCCCACCACTGTCCCAGTAGGTATAAGTGCCAGGCCCTCGGCCTCTCCGCCGCCGCGCCCGCTGATGTATCATCAGAGTGGAGCGCGCGCCCCGGCCGCCTTGATAACCTCCTGCGGTGATCCCGGCTGTTTGTCTCTGTGATTTTTGACCGGCCGACCGCCGCGGCGAGCGCCTCTCCTATGCAAAGCTCGCCGTCCCGGATTAACTAGTCATCAGAGAAGGGATTGCGACGGGGACAGTCGTGCCCGCAGTTGCTTTATATTCCAAAACGGGGATCTAAGCGGTGAATTAGAATAGATCGTCCTACTCCTAAGAGAGACAGTAGAGATGACGCCCAACTAACTCTTCAGCTGCGGCAAAACGGCGCTGTCACTCAGATGGAACATTACCTAAATGCCTAGATAAGAGACAACTTAATTTTTCTTGTGTGTGACTTGCATTGATGCGTGCATCTCAGCTTAGTATGCATTACGTTATTCGGGCTAGCGAGCGCTCAACTATTATTTTCATTGCCAAAGCCAATGAATAACATTCGACGAAAAATGCATAGGTACACAAATGCTCATTGTGGTTAAACTGTGCTTACCTGTCATGAGTACTGTTAACTGCAGGGCTGCGGAGTCGATGGATTTTCGGCGACTCCGACTCCGACTCCGACTCCGGCTTTAAAAAAACCAACTCCGACTTCGACTCCGACTCCGGG